GCACAAGGGAAGTTACACTGACACAGTGATGTAACCTCAAGGGGAAGTGCTACCAAAACCTCCCCCTGAGCTCAGAGGGCTCAGCCGTGAGGGGCAGGAGAGGAACAGAGAGGGTGAAATGTTAGCACCGCATTGGTAGTGGGTGGTATACCCCCATCTCCTTTCCAGGCCACCTGCCAATTCCAGCCTCCCGCAGGCTGTGTCCATCTGTACAGGGGGACGCCTCCAGGACTGGGCTTCTCTCTCCCTCTCTCCCTACAGTGCTGACGGGAGGGGGCTTAGCTACAAAATATATTAACTGACAGTGAGACTCAGAGGCCCCGCTACTTAATCTGAGACTCATCTTATACAAAGAGCAGTGACAACATGTCCTCACGCGCTAATTTGAACACGGACACCAACTCTTCTTTCACGTGGAGCTGAAGTGGAGCCTCAGCTGGTGTTTTGTTACAAGTGCAGCCCCCCTGCTGGAGCTCCTGAATCAGAAGTTTGTGTTACTGTCGCAGAATCTGAATTTCCCCTGGCTGTTCAGCAGTTCTGTAAGCATTAGTGTCTGGGAGGCAAGCCCACTTGTGTTATGACGCAAGTTTCCTGGGGATTTCTACCTTAAAATCAGACAGGGTAACGCTGCCTGATCCAGTCCCTCCCTGATCACTCCTCAGAACCCCAGGAACACTCAGAAACAGATGAAAAGCCATCAGTGGGAACCATGCCTTGTTCTCAGACCACAGACTGAAACAGGAAGGTTTTCTCCACAGAAGTTCCCTAAGGAAGCTCCTGCGATGGCGAGTTAGGCTGTTAGAAAGCATCCCAGGTGGACCTGCTTATGGAACCCTGTGTCCCACCCCCTGGGCTGACTCCCCGGGAGCCCGGCCTCCAGGTGCAGGGCTGGAGAGTGCGACACCGCATCACAGTCCTGCAGGCGTCCCCTGCAGGGCTGCAGGGGAGGAGGGGCAAAGTGTGACATTTGGGCTGAGTTTTCCATGTCTCTACAGAAAATATCAGAAAATGATCACATGGAAGCAACTGCACATGTGAAGGAAAAGGATATTTACATAGACATGTTAGGGCTCTATCTATACATATGTAATAAGTATTTTATATAGAGATAGTGTACATACACGCAAATATTCTTACAGGAAATCATAAAAATTATCATAAAAAGAGGCGGGTGTATGCCAGGAAGCGGTACTTCGTAGAAGCCACCAGCTTGGCTCAGAAACCCAGTCTCCCTTAGCCCGCACCCTGGAGACTTTGTCTCCATTGCAGGGAGGGGACAGGATGTGGCGTGCCGGCTTCCCCACCGAGGGCACAGGAGGCCACCTGTGCCCAGCCCATGCTGGCAGACATAGCCCTTGGGGGGGGTGTGCACCCAGAGGAGATGGATCAGTTGTCAGCACTTCTGGACACAGTCAGAGCATCTGATTTTACCGGGGCCACGTGGTCTCCCACGAGACCACGATGTATGAAGACATAATCCGTTATCTGTCGACGCCACATTCGAGATAAGGTGTGCAGAATACTCGAAATTGAACTTGGAGCGCTTCTGCTGTTTTTATGCGAAAATATATTACCCTTATCAAAATCATTACTAATTTACTTCATAAAACATTTAAATGCATTTTACTTATTAATTTATTTTAAAAAATTTTAGAAGAGAGAGGTAAGTAGGTTTGTTTATTTCTTTTTCTGTTTGTTTTCTGTTTGGGGGGAGTAAGTAGTTTTATCTGGGCATTTCCTCTTGGAGGAGGCCCTGGGAAGTGACCCCAGGACCTCGTGTGTGCTACGCCTGAGCTGTACCTCTTGAGCTATACCCGCCTCATGGACTTTATTTTATATCCACAATAATATTAACAGTGAAGGTACAATTACAGCGCAGTGAAAGATTGGTGTGTTCGTGCACTGTGAGTACAGTCTGATGACGTGAGGAGTCCGTCCTGTTTAACCCCACGTTTGCACAACAGATAGTGACATTGTTTATCCATATTTTCCGACCTTCTCCAAGACACACATCCAGAATTCGATGTTTTGTGGGTGAATTTTGTCAAACATTTTAGTAGGAAATAGGAAATATTCAGCACATATTTTTAAGAAAACACAGGAATAAGGAATAATTCATGATATATTTTATGAGGCCTGATTTTATAAACAGACAAAATACTGTACAAATTAAAACCCAATATTTTTCATGAACCTAGATGCACATG